AAATATTTAAAATCACGGTATTCATCTCAAATAACTATTTCGGTATCATATCGAGTAAAATACGTGTCCCACATGTAACTCAAAATAATCGGTAACATATTCATATTAAAAATTATGTGTAAGTCATGCAAGTTATGAAAACACAAATTGCGGTAAGATTACTACTCACAGTACTCATGCCAAAATTTCAAATGCTTCACCTCGAGCAATTCGTACAACTTCCTCCAATTCAATCTATAATTACATAATATCGGTCTTATATTAATTTCTATGTTTAGGCTAATTCATAGCTAATTTAGAATACCCAACCCTCGAGGTTTCATATTTGAATCTTAATTCGCCGAATTATATTCACCCACGGGATGACTAATTATTAATCTAAAACTCCAACCTATTCATATAATATGCCCGCTTAATTCATGAAAAGGTTTATGGATTTCTCTTAGTTTCTAACCTCCTCTTCTAACTCAGACTCAAATCTCATATTATATTTGCTTAGTCTCGCGAAGAATCATGTATAAAAACTACTATTGTTTCAAAAGAAGGAAAAATATATGCAATTACCTGGGCTTATCACTGAGACTACATAATATATACCAATATTTAATGGAAACGGTATTTGGCACTGAGGTAACACCAGAAACCTTTCCCCTTTTCGTTTTTCTCAGTTGCTGCTTCTGCCGTGCCGTGATATTTGCGTTGGCTAGGGATTTCTCTTTTTTTTAAAACCCCTTTTTCTTTTGCTTCTGGTTTGGTTACACCAAGACCTTTCTTTTTCTCCTTTTTGATTTGGGCAGAGAAAGGGGCTTCGGCCCTTTTCTTTACTTGTCTCTTTTTTATTATTTTTTTTGATTTGTTTTGTTATTTTTTTTAAAGTTAGTTTCTTATTATTATTATTATTATTTTGCTAATGACCAATACATCCTTATGAAAAATATAGAGTATTACACCTTAAGAAGGTAGAGAGGCTATATTCGATAGACCCTCGACATAAGGAACAATTACATTCTAATCTTAAATTTTATTTTATTTTATTTTTAATAAAAAAGGGAAACAGGAACAACCTTGTTTTGAGCTATGTTGCGCGGATTCTCCAAAACAGCTGCCGCACCCGTGTCGGATCCTCCAAAAAGACACGCACCTATGAATATTTTTGGAGAGTCCGAGCAACATAGGTTTTGAGGAGAAATGGTATGAATTGATCAAGAGGAAGCCATCATCAAGTCCAATATTGCAAAGTTGGAATATCAGCAAGTATATCAAGTAGTATCTACTATGTATATTTACAACAAAATTCATATATAAGCATTTTCAAAGATACAGATCTCCAGAAACAAAGACATTATTTTGCAATACAAATCAGCATCAATTGCCAAAATGAAGATCAGAATCCCTGGCAAGATTTTGACTTGCTTCTAGTTTCAATCAAAGTTTTCATATGCCAGTTTCTGAATTGGTGATTAGCTGGTCATGTCATAATTTTCTGTATGTAAATATGGATGATAGCTAGTTGGTTCTTCCATCTTTTCTATTAGCTGGCCCATTCCTGCATATCCATTTTCATAACATATACTTCAGAAATAAATCAAAAGGAAAGGGGACAATCCATATATTAGACATTCAAGTTAGACTTCGTTTTTAGATTGTTGCTGAACAAAAAAAAGGGCAGCCTGGCTAAGCTCTCACTGTGCGTAGGGTCCGGGGAAGGGCCGGAGCACAAGGATCTGTTTTATGCAGCATTACCCTGCATTTCTGCTAGAGGCTGTTTCCACGGCTAGAATCCGTGACCTCCTGACAGCAACTTTACTAGTTACTTACGCCAAGGCTCTCGCTTTGTTTGTTATTGAACAATGTTAAGAAAATGGAACTAGGCCAAACCCATCCATAAAACTAACCCGTGATGTCAAGATTGTCCAAGACTATATAAGGAGACAACAACTAATTATTCCCTCAACCAATGTGGAACATTTATTAAGAAAATAGGTGTGGGGCCAACTCAATCTCATATAAGGAAATAACACCTCATTTTCTTATCATTAACTCTTCTTCTAGCAAAAATTTTGTCCCCTTCAACAGCAGAACTTGCTTCAATTCAATATAATACAAGAGAAAAAATAACAAACAATCATGTCTTGAAGATGTAACCAAATCCAGTAATGGCAAACACCTAGATCAAAAATTCTGAAAAAAGGTTCCTAATCATATGTAAGATGAGACAAATGGTTTTGTTTTCAACTTGAATTATAGTAAGTACAAAAGCCACAAAATATAACTACTTTTAGGTTTTTGTTACCTCAGTTAAACATCGTACAGAAGCAGACAGTAGAAGAAGTGGCTGAGCTTTTATTTATTAATTGTTAAACCAAACATTACCTAATGCCTTGTCTGTCACAAACTCTCTGATAAAATTGGAGCAATATTGACTATTGAATATCTTAAGTTCACCCTTCATTATACTTTGGTTAGGGTCCACACTAGAACTCCGCGAGAATCAAGGGAAAATAGGAGACAAATTTGCTAATTGCAAGGGTATGAATAAACTCAAAGTATAACGGATGATAGAATTACGATATTTTGTATAATAGAGGGTTATTTTTAACCCTTCTCCCAAAACAAAACGATGATACAGGAAATAACAACAACCCAATAAATCCCACAAGTAGAGTATGGGGAGGGTAGTGTGTACGTAGACCTTACCCCTACCCCGTAGGAGTAAAGAGGTTGTTTCTGATAGACCTTCGACTCAAGAAGACAATAGATTAATAACAACAACAACCAGACAGATAATACCAGCATCGTTAGGACCAGAAAATAGATGGAAAAACAATAACAATAACAATAACCAGTAATAATGGCACGGTACTATGAAAACGGAAAACACATACTTGGATTTGACATTGCATAGAAGGACAACTGATCAAAACTTCCAGCTGGATTTGAATTACCCTCTTCAGCTCTTGAAGTTGGCATATGAGAAGATTGCAAATCCTCTGGCTTTGTTTTCTTTTCATTAGGTGATTCGACCTCTGTCTCCACCTCTGATTCAACGTTGTTCATTGCACCACCACCCTGTTGTTTCCTTTTTGATCGAGCACGTCTATTTTGAAACCAATTATAAACATTTGTTTCAGAAATTTGTCCATGCTGAGATAATTCAAAGGTTATATCTTTAATCTTTTGTTTGCTTGGTGTTCCATTGCCTTGATCGAAAATACGTTCAAGAATCTGAAGTTGGACAGGCGTTGGCGTCCAACGTTGTCTGCCACTGATTCTGTGTCCAGCTGATGTTATAAGTGGATCACAATATAGATTCCCCAGTCTAGTTCCTGAGGTAGCAGGAAGAGCATGTTGTTCAATTTTAGACAAATTAATTCAGTTCAGGAATTGAATGAAAATGTGTGTTGTACATTCATAGAGATAAATTTGTTTATACAAAGGTTAAATGAAGCGGAGTTAGGATTTGAACTTTCTGGATTATAAAATTTATAATAGCGACATAAGATGTTAGTAATTGGGTTTTAATTTAATTTTTGTACATAATTAATGAATTTCTTAATACAAGTATAGGGTTTGAACTAAAGCTACTGGGTTTGGTCGAATCCGTACGGTTGGCTACTAGCTCCGCCCCTGGCGACAACAACAAAATTGAGCTCCTCCAATACTTCTTTTTTGTTAATAAGGATATTTGTATTAAGCTCTTCCAAGGTTACTCCTATTTACTCCCTCTGTCCCAATTTATGTGACACAATTCGGATTTCCAGAGTCAAACTTCATATCTTTGACCATAACTTTGAACATTGAATTTTTAATTTTTTTTTAAAAATAAAATTTATTTATTTGAAAACTACGTAAAAAGTACTATAAGATACAATAATTAACAATTCAAAATATTCAAAAGGCTTATGAGAAAATTGCAGTCAAAGAAAAACTCATTTGACTCTTGAAATCGGAACGATGCCACGTAAATCGGAATGGAGAGAGTACTTATTAAGAACTGAATAAATAATGTTGGCATAAGTGTACAACATATAACAACAACATAAGGTTAGAATTATATGATAATTCAGTAAATCAAAATAACATTTAGTATTGTCAGAGTAAGATTCTATACTAAAGTCTAAAACTCTAAAAGGAAAGAGATGCAAGAATATTTAGGGCATTTAAGTTGAATTGTGAATTTAGACAGCTTTAACCAAGAGATGCAACAAATATATTTTCGGCATTATACAGCTAAAAAAGTAATAATTTTGAACGACCTTCTTATTTATTTTAGGTAAACCTTTTGAACTCAATTACTAGAAGAGTTAAATAAAATACTCTATTTACAATATCAAGTCAGATAAAAGATAACTAAAGTAATATTCATAAAAAGTTAAATTACTCTATGACCTTTTTCCAGAATAGAGAGGACTTCACAAATTTCTCATTGCTAAAAAAACAAGAATTAATGACGGACAAATTTTATAACTAAACGGAATAATCAATCGTTAATTTTATTTGTGACGGATTAACTATAAATTATCAAAAATTATAATCGTTACAAGCCATTTAGCGATAGATTCACTACGAAATTCGTAGCTGATTTCATTTTTTCCTTTAGTTTCTTAGGGATCATGGATCTTTCAATATTTTCTGCCCATATCATGTAAATTTTTACAGTCTTTTATGTTTTAGAAAAATAGAGTTTATGTTTTGAAGTTACATGACAGCTTGTTTGGATGGTTGTTGTATTGGGAAAAAACTGGATTTATATATTGAAGATGACGTGTCATGACACGTGGACTAGTCAAATGGTCGGAATACGGTAATCAACTAAGAAGGCACGGGCGACAACAGATACGGAGAGAAGAAAGTTAAATAGGCACGAGTCGCTATTCAAAAGGTACGAGTTTCGTACCTATATAAGTCATTTAAAACCCGAAGATCGGAAGGGATTGAAGATATGAATCTGATGACGCACAAGAGTCCAAATTCAGCATTAAATATTAAATACGTTAGAGAATTTGTATTTAATAAGAATGATTGAGTAACGTTTCTTTTAATGTCATTTATTGCTCATAATTGCCTCATTAAGACAAAGACATTATACCTTCTCCTAAAATCAACTATAAAAGGAGAAGGACTCGACATCTGTAAGAGGACAAGAAATATTATTGAGATTACACTGAAATACAAAATTACTTATTATTCTCAAAAGTCTTTTATTATTTTCGTCTCTAGATTATCAGTAACCCGAATTTCTTTATATTTCTAAAGTTTTGACCAAAGACTCAGATTTTTGGTTAAACAAATTGGTTCCGTTACCGGGAATCTGATAATCTTCTCTTTTAAGCTACATTCCAGTCGTTGTTATCATCATGTCAAACAACAATAACAGTGAAAACACCTTGGGAAACCATGAAAATCAAATCCATCAAAATCAAGGAGATTTACAGAACATTGACGTGGTTCCCTCCCCTCAAAATTCACCACGTCAATCTCGTGAAGGCACTCCCGCTCCTGAATCTCGTGTTGATCAACAAGAGCAATCTGAACATTTTGAAGGGGTGGATGAAGCTTTACAAAATATAATTGATGCACGGGTTAACAAAGCTCTTCAGGCTCTAGTTAGTCGATTACCTGTTGCACCACCCACACCTACACCAAATAATAATACATTGGAGAATCCTCGTTCTGGCCTTATTAATTCTGGAAATGGAGGAACCCCCAGTGAACCACAGGAAGGAGAACCATGTAATTCAAATAATTCTTATTTGCAAAATTTAGTACTAACTTTGCAGAAACAGCTTAAGGAACAAAATGAGTGCATCGAGCAAATCCCTGGAGTTCCCCCTGTAATTAAAGGAGTGGATGTGGATAAATATTCACAACAACCTTGGAAACCAAGTGCTGCTCCCCTTCCAATCCCTAAGAAGTTCAAAATGCCTGACATCTCGAAATATGATGGCACAACAGACCCACGTGATCACGTAACTGCATTTACAACAGGCGTGAAAGGCAATGACTTGACCAAACAAGAAATTTAATCAGTACTGGTCAAGAAATTTGGAGAAACACTTACCAAGGGCACATTAACCTGGTATTCTCTTTTACCCGAAAATTCTATTAATTCTTTTGATGAGCTTGCAGATTCTTTTATTAAAGCACACTCGGGAGCTCAAAAGGTTGAGAAAAGAATGGAGGATATTTTCAAAATCAAGCAAGGGGACTCCGAGTTGCTCAGGGATTTTGTTGATAGATTCCAACGTGAAAGAATGACTTTACCTCGTGTACCTGATAACTGAGCTGCAATAGCTTTTGCAAGCAACTTAAATGACAAAATCTCAGAAGCCACGAGAAGACTTAAAGAACGCCTTCGAGAGTTTCCGGCAACCACATGGAATGACGTTTATAACAGGTATAGTACGAAATTGCGAATTGAGGAAGATACCGTGCCTCAGTTTCATCATGAAGAGAGAAGTAACTCTAGGAGATCAGAAACCGAAAAAAGATCAGGTAAAAACAGGTACGGTCCATATATGGGACCTGCAGGGAAAGACTCACGATCAAAGAAGGATAGTCAACGATATGATCAAAAATCGAGGAACAGGGAATCTGGTTCTTCATCAAGGTTCAGAAATGACCGAAATAGGCAAGAGTCACGTGATAATGACAGTAGTTTAAAGGCAAGGTTCGGTGGATATAACTTTAATGTCACTACCTCCGAGATCGTAGCTGTTTTGAGGAGCCTGGGAGATAAGGTACGATGGCCAAAAGAGATGCCGTCTAATCCAAATAGACGCAATCCAGACCATTGGTGCGAATTCCACAATGATCACGTGCACAAAACTTCAGAATGTAGATTCTTACAGAGTGAAGTGGATCATCTATTGAAACAAGGGTATCTCATTGAGTTATTTAGCGAGAAAGGTAAGCAAGCCTATATGAAAAATAGGCAGGAGCCACCCAAACCCTCTTCACCCAAGAGAACCGTGAATGTTATAAGTGGGGGTGAAGATATTCACGGTATAACTTATACGGCTTCCAACAAGGTTTCTAAAGTAACGATAACACACGGGAAACGGGTACGGCAGGTTTTAGAAAACGAAAGTATTTCTTTCGATGATACAGATACCGAAGGAATAATGACCCCACATAACGACGCACTGGTAATATCTTTACTTGTATATAATACTAATGTAAAACGAGTTTTGATTGATCCAGGAAGTTCTGTGAATATTATACTATTAAGGGTATTACGTGAAATGCAAGCTGAAGACAAAATGATACCTAAGGCGCATACCCTATCCGGGTTCGACAATTCAAGTGTGGTAACAAAAGGAGAGGTAATTCTAACAACTTTTGCTGCAGGTGTTGTTAAAGAAACTAAATTTCAGGTAGTATATATGGAAATGGCTTATAATATGATCATGGGGAGACCTTGGATCCATGATATGGATGATGTCCTATCAACTCTACATCAAGTTATTAAATTCCCATCACCGTGGGGAATTTACCAAATTCGTGGGGATCAGCAGACAGCCAGGAGTATCAATGTTGTAACAGGTACGAGCACCGCAAATAAAGAAAAATAGCAATTACTGAAAATAGTTGAAGGTATCAAGGATCAAACCTCAACCGAACAAGAAAAGACAAATTTAGACTCGAGACCTGATACAATTCACGAACCTGAAGAGAATAAAGATATCAAAACAACAATTGAAGAGCTCGAGGCTGTGATATTATTTAAGCAATGGACTGAACGAAAGGTTTATGTTGGAGCCAATTTAAGCTCAGACATGCGAGGTATGTTGATTGAATTTTTAAAAGCTAACGTGGACTGTTTTGCTTGGTCCCATGCTGATATGACAGGGATACCACCAGATGTGGTAACTCACAAACTAAATGAAGACTCATCCTTCACACCAGTAAAGCAAAAGAAAAGAAAGCAAGGAGCTTTCAAAAATCAGGTGATTCAAGATGAGGTCCAAAAGCTATTAAAAATTGGGTCAATACGCGAGGTAAAGTATCCTAATTGGTTAGTAAACACAGTTGTTGTACCTAAGAAAAATGGTAAATGGCGGGTTTGCGTGGATTATACAGACCTTAACAAAGCCTGCCCAAAAGATTCTTTCCCTCTACCGCATATAGATCAGTTAATTGATGCAACTGCAGGACATGAACTTTCGAGTTTTTTAGATGCATATTCGGGGTACAACCAAATTAAAATGGACCCCAGTGGCAAAGAAAAAACTTCTTTAATCACAGACAGGGGGACTTACTGTTATAAAGTAATGCCCTTTGGTCTCAAAAATGCTGGAGCAACCTATCAAAGGTTGGTCACCAAAATGTTCCAAGAACATTTAGGAAAAACCATGGAG